CTTCCCCAACTCGCCCCTCTCTCCCTCTCTCATCTCCTCCACTCTCCCCCTCGGATCTTCACCGTTTCTTCACCGTTTTTGCGGATCGAGATGGCTAAGCTCCTCCGATCCCTCCAATTAGTTTTTACAAACTTGCTTCCGATTCGACGCATTATTTGCTTGAAATCCCTCTTATTTTTGAACTTAGATTGGATTTTTTACCTAAGATTGTTTTAGCTTGATTGTAGTTCTAGTTCTTAGTTCTTTAGTAAGTAGCGGTATTGAATATGAACTCTAATCAATAGTTCATATGTTAGTGTGAAGATGAACCCTAGTTAATAAATTTTTTTGTTAAAAAAATTATGATGTAATGCATGTGGGAGGACTTGATAGTAGTTTTATGATGCATGTTGATATGAAGATATGACGATGTTGTTTGGAGATAATACATTCAAGATGAATGCTGGAGGATTTTTTATGATATGATGCATGTTGATATGATGCATATTGGAGTAAACAAAATATATATGATGCAAGTAGTGGATTTGGTTGGAGTAAATATGATATGATATGATATCGCATTTGACCCATCTTGATATATGTATTTTATTTAGATAATGATGAACTTTTGTTATGCATCCATATGTTTAGGAACGCAACTGTGGCACAACCATTGCCCATACATCTCCAACACGACCCGTCTGCCTTGCCACTTCTGTACGTGTACGAGTCCCTCCCCGAGCTTCTGCAGGCGGTGGGAGCTTTTTCAGACGAGTTCCTAGAGGCGACGAGGGCAGTGCGGTGGCACGAGAGGGCAGAACGGATCGCCGACGATGTGAAGTATTGGTCGTTGAGTGTGAAGGAGTGGAAGAGAGTGACTGCTGAGATGGAGGGAGATCCAACTATCTCCCGTGAACGCCGGGAAGGGACCATTGAAGCTGCCAAGCAGCACTCCAACTGGGAGCTGCGCAATTTGGGCCGGAGGATCTACTTTGGGAGCAATGCGGAGGAGAGAGCCAGGATGCCGCCCCCAAGTGCATCGGCGTTTGATATCATCAGCTGGGGAAGGGCGGATGCGAAAACTCTAGCGGGCAAGGCAAGGTGGGAGTGCTTGAACAGTCGAATATCGACCAGCGTTCCGCCTCCGCCTGAACCGGTGGATCTGCTGTCGTATCTGTCTCCACGGCCAGGCCCAACATACGAGGGGGGGGGGAGGTTTATCCTCCCTATAAACTTGTCTTATGCATATGCATCTATGTGTTAGTTGGGGTTGTCAAACTATATGGACAAGTTTGCTATTTGCTATTTCCTACTTATGAATCTATGTGTAAACTGTTTGATATTTGCTATGTGGAACCTTTATTAATATGTGATCTCATATTTTGCTATTTGTGAAACTATGTGAAACTTGTGACAAAACAAACAATCAATAAAATTTGTAAAAACCTAAACCCACAGGACCCACCCTATAAACTTGTCTTAAGAACTTGTTGTACCGTTTGTCGGCTTTGCAAAAGTACTTGCGTTAGTTGGGGTTGTCAAACTATGTGGACAAGTTTACTATTTGCTATGTTGAACCTTTATTAATATGTGAGCTCATATTTTGCTTTCTTTGTGAAACTATGTGATAAAATTTTACAAAAGAAACAATCACTAAAACAATATGTGAGATCATATTTTATTGTCTATATCATTGTTGTGATATTGTTTTTGAAATTAAGCAAAAAATTAAACTTGGAAACCATAAAACACAGGACCCTACCGCCAAGGACCCTGGCGGTAGGGCGAACCTACCGCCAGGGCACTTCGATATTTCGTTACAAAAACTTTGCGAGACAAAAACCTAGCCACACCCTACCGCCAGGGGTTCTGGCGGTAGGTTTAGATAGGCTACCGCCAGGGTCCCTGGCGGTAGGCTACTTATCCACATTAGCTCGGGCAAACAGCGGCCGTCGCCCTCCGTCGCACCCTACCGCCATGGACCCTGGCAGTAGCCTGTTTAACCCTACCGCCAGGCCCCATGGCGGTAGCGAAAGGGTCAGATCTCGAAAAATTTCCGAACAGGGGTTAGATCCTGAATTTGTATCGCAAAAGGGTCAAAACACGAAAATTTACCGGCTGGCGCGTGGCGCATGCCAGTTCTTGTCCGATGGGGAGGGGTAGGGGGGCAGTGAGAATTTATTGAATTGAGTTATGGAGGTACAATTGATTTGACATATAGTTTGACTTCTCGGCCGCGTTTAGATGGCCAGTATACAAGATGACGTGCAACTATATGGAGCTGCTCAAGTACATGTCATGTCGGTTCTTACGTGACTTGTACTTTATTCTTTATGATATGAATGAGACACGTATTACCATTCAAAAAAAAGTACATGATAGATGGACCGGTGTGTGTTGTGCTCATCGGTTTCCATAGATGAGACGTATGGTGTAGGTGCACTTACTAATTTGAGTACAGAAACAAGTGAAGTAAATTGTGTGGACCGTCTTAGCCAGCCCAATCTCGCACGTACAATATTTTTCGAAACAATTTGAATTTGGCTTCGTTCGAAGGATGAGGTGAGCACACCCGGCTGCTTATATATGTTCCGCAACTCCTGCCGGCGAGTCCGGTCCAAGGTTGCGGAGCGGGAGCGAGCGTCGTAGTCGATCACACACAGATACAGAAAGTAAATGGACACAAAGATGTAGAGGGGAGTCTTTCTTTATTAATCATCATGAACTGTACATACACATGGTGCTCTCCTCTTTATATATCTACTAGGTGTGGAGGGATAAGTGCCCACTTTAACATTAAGTGGAGGGACTTGGTCTATAATGGGCCAATGACTTGTTCAATCTAAGGCCCAAGTTTCCCAACACTCCCCATTGGGCAGTTATCCATATATCCATGTCTCAAAACTCCGAAAAACCCAGTGGGAAAAAATATGGAGAAAGAACACATAGTATACGTTGTTATATTGCACGAATTGCCTCGTCAAAAACCTTGTGTGAGAAACATCAGGAAAACTCACTCAAGGGAAAAAGAGTACAATCCACTCAACCATCAAGTTGAGCACTCGATCATCGGGACCAAGATTTTAATGATGCTTTTGTGAAGTTTCTCCCCCTGAACCTTGCATCTCCCTAAGTCTCATCATACCGATTCTATGCACACATCTCTCAAAAGATGGCGTCGGTAATGATTTAGTGAACAAATCAGCAAGATTAGCACCAGACTTAGCATGCAAGATTCTCACCTCGTTCATCTTCTGCATCTCATGTGCATAGAAGAACTTAGGATTAATATTCTTTGTGGGATTACTCTTCACATAACCATCTGAATGTGTGCAACACAATCAGTATTATCTCCAAAGATAATGGTAGGGGTTTGTACGGTGCTCAGCCCACATGTCTGCTGAATGTGGCCGATCATCCGCTGAAGCCATACACACTCTCGTGATGCTTCACATAGTGCTATGATTTATGAGTGGTTTGTGGAAGTTGACACAAGAGTTTGCTTGGATGATTTCCAGGAAAACACAGTTCTACCACAAAGGAAAACATATCCAGTCTACGATTTGCAATCATGCGGGTCCGATAGGTACCCATCATCGGCATAGCCTATAATAGATAGGTCTTGATTCCTTTTATAAAACAGACCAAGATCTTTGGTCCCTTGCAGGTAACGGAAAATGTCCTTGACACCTTTCCAATGTCTCTTGGTAGGTTCAGAACGGTACCTAGCAAGCAAACTGACGGCGGACGCAATGTCTGGCCGTGTACAATTTGCGAGGTACATGAGTGCTCCAATTGCACTCAGGTAAGGAACCTCCGGTCCCAGAGTTTCCTCCCCCTCTTCCTTTGGCCTGAACAGGTCCTTGTCTGGCTGTAAAGATCTCCCGACCATCGG